TGCTGAAATGCTGTGGCTAAATCTATACACACGTTATATGATTTCTTTTTCCTATAACTCCTGAGTTTGAGGTTTCTGATAATCTTTCTGACCACCATATGCTCAAAAACACAGAAATTTGTGAATCCAACTCGTACCTCTTACTGTTTAAAAGGACAATGGCTTTTTTCACTTTTAAGGGAACTGTTATATTCTCTTGGGTATGTTTATTCAGTAGCAAGAAATCTGCCTCTGAGGGGTAGTATTTTAGAGTTTTCATCCATCACTGGCTGTCTCTTGGGTTCCAAACCAGGAGGCAGGCTATTTCAGGAAAAGGTTCTAATAGAGTTTACATTTTCTGTCTGCCCTTTAATGCACTTTTTCAGCTGAACCATTTGGCTGCTGAAGTAGAAATGCCCTTACTCTCGGGTGTTTCTTTTGTCTCTTATATGATCGTTCCTCAGTCCTCATTCCGCCTTCATCCTACAAGGACATTCCAAGTCTCCTATATTGGCTGTGAGAAGCAAGGAGGCATGGGCGAGGATACACAAGAGCATTCTTTGTAGAAGTCTTTTATGAACTAATGCAGAAATCATTTGGCGATTGTACACTCCAGATGAAGGATTGAAGGATCCATGTTGATAATAACGTGTTTCCTCCAGTCCTCTCTCCTGGCATGTTTTCCTTGCATTTTTTCCTCACATCTTATGTGGCCCCCTCCTTGAACCGCCACCTTATTGTGGTGGAGGGGTTTGAGTACCCGAGTGATCCTAGGAGCTATGTTGTCGGGGGCTATATGTCCCTGGTAGGGTCTCCCAAGGCAAGCAGGTCCTGGGTGATGGGTCAGACTAAGAGCGGTTCAAAAGCCCTTTATGAATAGATTAAAATCAAGGACCGTGACATCGCCCGGCATGGCGCAGCCAGGGCCCCACCCTGGAGCCAGGCCCGGGGTTGGGGCTCGAATTCGAGCGCCTGGTGGCTGGGCCTCCCCTCACAGGGGCCCGGCCAGGCTTAGCCCGAACGAGCGACGTGGGGACGTCCTCCCGTGGGCCCACCACCTGCAGGAGGATCCGTAAGGGGCCGGTGCACAG